GTGTAACAAAATAAAGAAATTTTTTAAAAAAATTTAGAAAAAAATTAAAAAATTAACAATATTGCAAAATTTTATTACAAAACTAGTTATAAGCTATTAAGTAAAAGTTTTCAGCATCTAATTTTGCGCTACATGTCAACTTAATGTAACCAATATTCTAACCTTAATCTTTAAAGAATATTTATTTATATAAAAAAAGTTCTATAAAGATAAAGAGTGGTTAAATTTTATAATTTTAACCAGGGGTTAAAATTAGTTAAATTCTTAAAAAATTAATAGTAAAGTTTTTGTAGTTTATTTGCTAAAATTTTGCAACATTTGACTAAGACACAAAAAAAATTCATATTGTAAACAATTTTCAAGCAATAATTTCTATATTACACTTTATAATTTATCTCATAATTTTACTAGCTATCAAGAGGATGCACTGAAAATTGATCAAAGAGCAAATAACATTTAAATTTTATTTGTAGCTAAATTTATTTTGCCTATATAAAAAAAAGATGTACACAACTTTCTTCTCAGATAAATCTATATTATAATCACATACAGTATAAATAAATGTTAAACTGAATGTTTAATATTTATGACCGACAAAATCTTTATCTCTTTAGATAACTTTTTAAGTTCGGTTAAAATTTCATACAACCTCGGCCGTTTTTCTGGTTCAGAGTCCCAACACTTCATATAGAGTTTAGCGTAATCTATGGGAGTCCCACGTATAACTTTCTCCCTTTCTCCTTGCGAAATTTTTATTATTACAGCGGGATATGATGAATCCGAAAACGGAGGTGTTCCGCTTGTGAGCTCCCAGAACACAACACCTAAACTATAAATATCCGACTTTCCATCACGTTTAATTTTTTCGTCAGGATAGAGAAAACATCTTGGCTCAGTATATGCAGGCACGCCTTTTATACCCGAAGTCGGTGTTGTACTGTCCATTTTTTTTGATATTCCAAAATCCGAAATTAAAATCTTGCCATTGTTTATTAGAATATTGTTAGAATGCTAGAAAAATTAAAGATTTTGTATAAATAACTTGGTATATTAAAATAAAGGGCTTGTAATTTTTTACATAGGCAAACTACGCACCAAATCTCTGTGGTATACTTTTTTTTCGTGCAAGAAACATAAACCACAGGTAATTTCAATTGCGATGTTAGTAAGCCTGGTCCAAGAAATCTCAAATTTATTCTCTTTCCATTTTGATTGTAAATAATTGCGCAAAGTTCCTCCATTAGCAAATTGGAGAATAAGCATAAAATTATTTGTTTTTGGATCTAAAGTTCGTCAAATGATATGTTATTTCGTATTTAACATTATTTAGTTTTAGGGAGACTTTTTTATACGTACCTTTAGAAACTCCGTAAAATTTAATAATATTGGAATGACTAACTTCTTGTAAAATTTTAAGCTACATGAAATATGTGTAAAAAAAATAAAATAAAATAACATCCACTTTTATGTTATGACAACTGTTCAGGTGATAATGTGCTTAAAAAGAACTAGATCCGTTGACACATATTCGCTGAGTTTTAAATAACCTAGTTGTGCATGATAAGTGACCAATCAAACAGAAAGATGCAAAATTTTATTTATAGAGATAGGATGCGATCTTGACGTGAACTTACGGAGGAGGATTTGGCCACGAAATACATCATTTAATTGTCAATATTCTTTTTCACCATAAAAAATTTTGTTTAAAATTAATTTACCTCATGAATGAATGTCATAACTTCTTTATGTTCTAATCGCAATGTACTTCTCAGACTCTTCAGTGCATATCGTCGTCCATTGAACTTAGCAGAATATACATTTGCGTATCCTCCGCTTCCAACAAATTCGAGCTCTCTAAACTGTGAGTAGTCGAACATTTTTACATTAAGCTCTTTCAACCGTTTTTCAATAAATTCCGTCAATTCTAATACTATTTATTATACAGTAAAGTTCATAATGTTAACGCTCCATATGAATGTATAAATTATAGCACAAAAGCATACATGTTTTTTTCAGAGTTAAGTTTTCTTGGATAACAGTTCGATTTGGCCTGTTTCTTCTCTTTCTTCTCTTGTTTCTTTTTCTTCTCCCAGATTTAGGGTGCATCTCGTTGTGAACCCCAACGCTTCTTTAGTCATTCAACAGTACTCGGCCTTGACAATCTCGTCAACTCTGTGACTTCATAGAAGACATGATAGATGAATCGAGATTCGAAGGATTGTTTGTAAATACAGGCGCCGTGTTTGAATACATTTTAAAGGATAGATCAAGTGTAGAATTTATGTTATGAAGATATAACAAAGATAACAGGTTTAGTATCTCTAGGCTTAGTATTTTTATTGTTTATTATCTCTTTAATGCTTTTTGTATTATTCTTAAGATTTTTATTTTTACGTCTCCTCTTATTTTTATTTAAAGGTGCTGGCGGATCGAAACTAACGATGTTCCATCTATCTTTTCTTTTTCTTCTTCCAGATTTAGGGTACATCTTGTTACGTACCCTCAAAGCTTCTTTAGCTATTCAACGATACTCGGCTTTGACAGTCTTGTCAGCAGATTCCCAACTCTGTGACGCCATAGAAGATACAATAGTCATTGGCAAATAATGTCCGTTCTCACGAGCTGT